TGATAGCCCTGTCACTCATAGTGTGTGGGGCTGTACCTGTGCAAGGGCCAACAAAGCACGTGTTGTTAATTGATTTCAATTTAGATCCTCGAGGGGTGAAAAGAAACAATGGCTTGTCCTCATCAAGTCAAACCTCTGTCATTATTTACCGTTTCTTTGTTCTGTGCCAGGTAGCACCTGCACTGGTGTCTTTTACAACCATTTTCTTCTTCGTCTAGGGAACTGAAGCAAATCTTTGTTACATACAGTGAAGTTCTATAACCAATATTAGCAGTAACTTGTATTTTACACCAATGGACGTAACCTAAAACAGCTACGAACGTCAACTCCTGATTTAGTGACTCAGCCAGCAAAGAAATTATTTAATCAGTCCATGATTTTATTGTCAAAAAGTAAAAGATTCGAATAGTCATAATAATATAAAAAAATTTTTACATACTGCATTTCATTAGCTCGGACAACACTAGCTCCAGCTGACGGTTACAGGTATAGTTTATGCATTATACATTTATATTTATTAACATTAACATGTTTATATATAAATGTATATATAAGTTTTGTTTTCTGTTTTTGTTTTATTTTGTTTTGCGTGTTTACCAATACAGATTTCATTTATGAAATGAATGCATGTTTAAACAATCATAACGGTACCCAGAGTAAATCATTCAGAATTTTGGAGTCATGACCATTTCAATATATACAAACATTCTATGTAGTGATACTTCGGAAATCGGGGTTTTACTGTATCGACGATTGGAGTTTTAGTGATGTTGATTAACTGTCTGTGATTGATGGCGCCAAGGTACCTAATTATTCCAATTATCTCAGTGAGCTATTCTGTGCCAATCCCATCTTGTCACTTCAAAATCTGGTAGTCCCCCAAGTGTAATCTCTTGTTGTGAACATTATATGATCAAATAGAGGTTAGTCCAGAAAACAATTCAGTCAGTTGAGCAAGTTGATTCGCTGTGACAGGTCAATGGAATAAGCAGGGGCCTGTGACCTTTGGTAACTGGACAAACTTGAGGATCTAATCATTCAACCCTTCTATAATGTTCGCGAGAGTTGGGTCTGTCGGCAGAGCTAAACAGAAACATTGATGTTTTAGAATAATATTTAACTTTATTTTGGAAATATGAAATGCAATGCTAGGGCAAGTTGTACAAGTGTTATAATCCTGAAGAAAGTGTAAAAGTTATACCGATGAAGAAAAACTGCTTTACAAAAATTCGGGGATCCGGACATTTCCCCACGGTCATTACCCCACATGGCAATCCCCCACCTGATTGACTGATTGTTGTTTAACGCCGCACAATATTCCAGCTATATGACGGCGGTCTGTAAATAATCGACATCATGAGCACCGATCCCCACCGTACAATACCCCAAACCTAATTACTTTACTTATTTAGGTAGGTTGTTTAGAAGATCTATAATGGGAACAAATACTTTAATGTCATTGTAATTGATTCCATTACAAAGGTATTGTTATTCCATTTTCGTCAGTAACCATAGTAACGTCGAAGACCCGGGTTCAATTCCTGGCATTGTTCTACCATGTGAAATTCAATCTTTGAATCCCCGCCGTTATGTTTATGGAATTTGCCCCAAACGGCGTAAAATCATACTCTCAAACTTAACTAAAGAGTCATGGTGAAGACGCAAAACATGCATATATCCTTAAATAGCACTGGGAAGTAAGTTATAGTGGAGATTATATTGACAATGTATGACATTGCACGTAACACGGTGGGTATCTTAAACAACACTCTGTAACATTGCAGGACATCCGTCCGTTCTGACTAAATTCGTTGAACTAGGAACGTGAATGACTTGCGGGAATCGTTGGAGAAGTGAACTTCCCACTGCCACACCATTTTGGAATTTCAAATTTCTCAAAATCTACACTTTAAAATAGACCTGAAAGATTGTGCTAGTGCATGCATCCCGTCATAAGCAAAGAGCTTCTCTTCGTAACTAAATTCAATGACGGTGGTTGACAGGCAAGCGGGCTGTGTACAACATAGCCGTGGTATATAGCCGTGGTATAAGGTTACCTTGTTGGGAAAGATTGCGTAACAGTTTCATTGTTTGGCATAGAGATCTGTGGGTAATTAAAGTTATGGACCAACAGTGAAACCCGTTATTATCCGGGCGGCATGTTTCCCAGTTAAAGCGAAACATGTTTTAGGATTATCGGATCATTGTAGTGAGCCATCCCCTTTTTGGCATCCAGACATTTCACCGCATGGACCTTTTCCCACTCGACAATTCCCCACTCAAAGCCAGCCTAACCCAAAAAATTTCTTTCTTTTTGTTGTTGTAAGAATTAATGTGATTGGGTTTATTGTGGGATTCAGGATATCTTTTCAGAAGGTGTTTACAGGATTTGTTTTGGTTTTGACAATTGGCCAATGAGCGTGCAGTGTATAGGTGCTTGAGGATACCCAAATTAACAGTGTCTTATTAGGGAAAATGGTGTTAAATACTATGTATTATTAGGGTAAATTGGTGTTAAATACTAAAAATACTATGTATTATTAGGGTAAATTGGTGTTAAATACTATGTATTATTAGGGGAAATTGGTGTTAAATACTAAAAATACTATGTATTATTAGGGGAAATTGGTGTTTATTACTAAAATACTATGTAGATAGGATATCTTTAGGGTTTGTAATCCTTTCATCGCCCGTGATGTTTTTTTTATCGTTCTACTGGTATATAAGTAAAGAAGGAACATTTGTATACACATTTAAATTAAGAATTGCAGTTAGATCCACTATCTGTCGTAGATCTCCTAAAGCCAAGAGGTACAAAGGCGCATTACGCGCTAGCGAAGGCCAAACTAACTCTATTTCTGAAAGATAGACAGCTACACGAACGTATATAAACAGAGCAGCCAAAGAAATTCTATCAAGTTCTAAAAATAAAATCGTATCAAAACCAAAATATCAATCTCATCAATACAAAAACAGAGATGTTATCAATACTAAGAAAAGTCGTGGAGGCTCTAAACTGATATGTGAAGCCTACATGTATCAGATACTAGTATTTTATTTCATAAAAAGGATTAAGGAAGGTTTATAACCCTCAATGAAACTTGACTTAAACTTTTCAGAAACTGTATTTGTGAATGTATTTTTGAATGTATTAATTTATACACAATCATATGAAAGGATTAAAACATTAATTTAATTTTTTTACAACCTTACATTCGTATATTCAGGTTTCTCTTTCGATTAAAATATGCATAAGAAACGTTTCTTTAAATTTCTCTCTTTAAGTTGTTATTTTACAACTGCTGTTACATATCTGGCTAGATTGGCCTACGCTTATCACCTCGATTTTTATTGAATCATATGCAGATATTCCACAGTCGTGGTACAGGAATATACATTCTTATACCCTTCTGTCCCGGCAACCCTCCCCACGCCTCTCCAGTAGCCCCCACACCACCTGGTACCTATTGTGGTCTAAGGCCATCTACCCCCAAGGAAATGTCCCTTTGAATCTGACCCCTGACCTCCCCTTATCCATCACCACGTTAGCTGAGGATGATAACAAAGGCCCGCTTTTTCGGTTGTGAAGAAACCGACTCTATTGTGAGAATGCCTGAATCTGTGGAACGAAGAGACCGCATGAATGGTACAATAACTGTATGTCTAATACCGCTACAGTCATTTGGAGCCGTTGGTGGGTGAATTGTCATGATAAGTGAAGCGAGCTGTGTGTGGTGAATTACCTCCCCTTGGTTGACTTAGCTGCGTGTGATTTTGCCATGATCATTCAAAAACTTACTTGTAATGATTATAGCACTATTGCCTTTATGTTTGCTCCCGTTGTTAAGTATTTTATGAATACAAATGGTTGTTTCGACGTTTCAAAAATATATCCAACCTTCACTTGGAATTTTTATTTTGTAGCGATTTTAAGGCGCTTTGTTCTTGGTCGCACATGTATTGTACATGGAGTTACCTCCCTTGTATAGACACTTGTTGATTCAAAGCTTCACAAAGGTTTGAAACAATATTCAAAGTGCATTTCACCGTTGCAAATTCAACAAACGTATTGATTGTGAAACTATAGATTACTAATACGGGATGAAATAGGTATATGTATTGCTGAATAACGTAATGAGCTGTATGATAATGTGGTGCAGAGTTCTGAACGACACATTTAGCTGAAGGAAAAGAAAGTATTTTTAGAAGAATTAATAAGAAACTTCAAAATCCATTTTTATGCAAAAGTATATGAATTGGTATTTGTTTTTAAAAAGATCTGAGACATCGAACTTAATTCAGCTGTCAAGGGCATGCTTGAGTTATTTCTACCGCCTTGCTGTCAATGAGCTGAATTTATTAGACGTGTTATTCGTATGCCTTGTTAAAGATTCTTTCTCCAGCACCTCGTGTGCAAGACGCTAGTTGACACGTTGGATAACCGATGGCACTTCACGCCTCCTCCAGTCGACATTGTTATGTACAAGGGGCTTGTCAGTACTTTACTTGTCACCTCAAACTGTTATCTTGACAGTTTCTGACACGTCGTCAGTTTCAACAAGAGAACGCCGGAAAATCAGAAAATATTTTACAACGTAATACTTTTTCAACCCTCTTTATATGAATTAAGTTTTATTTACAAGGTGAAGTATGTTTAAATACACAATTAACCTGTAATGTTTAGATGTGAATTAAAGTCCATGAAAATATATATTTTAACTCGATATCAAATAAAATATCATTAAGAATTATAGAAATGTTTTGAAATATGATTAATTCGAAATCTACTATTAATTCGTCAACAAATCGGCATGTTCACAAGCAGCGTTTTCAGACCGCAGGTCCATTGTGACGTCACACAAGGACAGCCAGTCCCAGTTGACACAGACTCGCCCACTTTTGTGACATCACAGGCTCCGTGTCAAAGGTCACAGTGTCGAAATCTCTTTCCCAACTTGCAATATTTCACACAATAATAAAGTTAAACTTTCGCATTGCAGACGCAGTAGACCGGACCAAGAGACAAAACCTCACCCCAGACGGATAAAGACTTCAAGTCTTAGATTTAACGCAGGGGAACCATGTGTCCTACCTGAGCGCTAAATCAGGCGAACACACTCAGTGCACACCGGCCGTAAACAAATCTCAGAACGAGGCAAGGCGAAAGGGCTGGATCGTCGCCCAACAAGAAGTTGAGAACTTTTAATCAAGTTCCTGTGTTCTTTTCGACATACCGAGGGATAGTTACTAAAACCGAAATAAGGAGGCATCGAGGATGTAAGTATTATTTGACAATATTTTTCTATGTCGATCGCACCAGGTGAAATGTGTGTGTGTCATTCACCTGTTGTAATCTACCTGAGTGTCGTGTCCTAAATTCACTGACAGCGATGTACATGGCTAACCCGTGGGAAAACACCCGACACGACAAGCTGACGTATACATGACCCTTTCGGTCGCTGTGGAAAGTTGCTAGTTTCATTTATAACAGTTTTTACAGCGATGGACAATTGTGATTATTGTTCAGAATTGCAGTTATTGTGTATATACGTTTGACAATCACACTTTCAGGGGAGTTGTCCCACCATTGCTGACCTGTACTGCTCGCTTTACACACACAAACACACCATTCCTTTGGATGGCGCTCTTTAAATTATTAATATACAGATGTAGTTATATTTGTATTTAAAAAATATTGTATAATTGTTTCTTCGGGACTGAGAAGCGTATTTATTTATTTATTTATTTATTTATTTATTTATTTATTTATTTATTTATTTATTTATTTATTTAACCATCATTTAAATTATAACAAGCCATTTATTTCCTCTAAATAGTTTATTTATTTTTGTCCCTCCTTACCAACAAATGAGTATTACCATTGCAAGATTCACCACCGCTTCACACACCGAGTACTAATTCTTCTTTTGTTATGCAATATTAAGGCAAACGTTCGTGTTTGTAAGGAACTCTTTTGTGGAGGTGCATACTATACAAATCCCGGACGTAAAGTAGCTTTTCAGTTATTATTCGACATAATCCACAGAGCTGCAGCTTAAACTGTTCTTGTCAAGTAGTTTTACTTCCCCCTAGAAGCGGACATGGTGGTTCGCGTTGCCTGTCATCAGCTGACATTATTACCCTTAGCCATGCGTTGACACCGCTAATGACCCTTTTCCTGTCCAATACGCTGCGTGTTCACGTATATCTCTATGACAGACTACTGGTCATCTGTCGGTTATTTCAAAACTGACCAGCTTTGTATTCAAGAATAAAACCGAATTGTTGCGGTCGTAGCGAAACACCAAATGGCCCGGCGGGCCCGTGCGCGAAATACGCATATATGTCGGAAAGCGCACGTTAAATTCCTAATTAAAGTAAGTAAGTCGTAGCGACTAGAAAGATATCACGCGAAGACACAAATATGCCACAACACAAAACACAACAATGTAGCATAACATAACACAATACAACATAACAAATCATAACACAAACACAAAACTACAACAAAACATTCCTTCAAACAAAAACACCCAACAACAAAACAAATAAGACGTTTCTTTATTAAATTTTACACGAGAGGATAACACAGGTATAGGCTCCACCCAATTAACGCAATGTTCTAAGGGTTCTTTTCATAACAACCTCGGGCTTAAGGAAGTGTCATTTGTGAGGGACCTAATACGCGCACCCTTTGTTATTACGTTTGGCCCCTACCATCTTTTATCGGGGGGGGGGGGGGGGGGGGGGGGGGGGGGATAAGCGACAACAATCCATCTTATCGGGATGGGATTTAGGGCTCTTTCTCGTAACCTGTTTTCTTGGGCAGAACCGTGCAAACATCCATTGTCACACTTCTATTTTCACTGTATGTAGCGTATAGCCTCGGGCAATGAGTCTTTCGTTAGTCACAGACCCCTGTAGCTTCGTTGTGGTCAGCTTAGGACGCAATGTGCATAGTTCCGCTAAGTAACCGGACCCTGTACGTAGAAGGTCCTTCCGGCCAGCACTGGTCAATATTGCTATGTATGAAAGAAGGTTCAAATACGTCCAGTTCTAAATCCGTGTAAGACTGAAAATAGACGAGGGCAATAAAACAAAATTAATTGTTGCTCTTTCTATTGGTTATTGGTACTATAAACGTCTATGTACTTTTAGTTCTTTGACTAGCCTTGGCACATTCTTGCCCCAAATGTGTCGTACTGAGGACCCAGTCATGCCCCAAATGTGGCGTACTGAGGACCCAGTCTTGCCCCAAATGTGTCGTACTGAGGACTCAGTCTTGCCCCAAATGTGACGTACTGAGGACCCAGTCTTCCCCAAATATGACGTACTGAGGACCCAGTCTTGTCCCAAATGTGACGTACTGAGGGCCCAGTCTTGCCCCAAAGTGGCGTACTGAGGACCCAGTCTTGCCCCAAATGTGGCGTACTGAGGACCCAGTCCTGCCTCAAATGTGGCGTACTGAGGACCCAGTCTTGCCCCAAATGTGGCGTACTGAGGACCCAGTCTTGCCCCAAATGTGACGTACTGAGGACCCAGTCTTCCCCAAATGTGACGTACTGAGGACCCAGTCTTGTCCCAAATGTGACGTACTGAGGGCCCAGTCTTGCCCCAAAGTGGCGTACTGAGGACCCAGTCTTGTCCCAAATGTGACGTACTGAGGACCCAGTCTTGTCCCAAATGTGACGTACTGAGGACCCAGTCTTGCCCCAAATGTGGCGTACTGAGGACCCAGTCCTGCCCCACATGTGGCGTACTGAGGACCCAGTCCTGCCCCACATGTGGCGTACTGAGGACCTATTTAGCATCAAAACGCCCAATGGTCACTGGAGACGTAATTTGCCATGTAATCCCCACCGTGATTTCTGTGTTACAGTCTACTTGTTATTAAAGTCCTCATACACATTTAACGGATGCCTCATATCTCCAACTGACTGTTCATTTCCTATCATTTCCGAATAAGGCGGTGTTTTAAAAAAAAGGTTTCAGTTTTACGTCAGAAATAATCAAGTGTTGTATCACAAGGAAATTTGAATTCACTCCGCAGAAAAAAAGATCTTATGACTGAAAGGTCACTCTTATTTGCATGCAGTTCGGGTGATTATATATGAGGGCTAATTGCGCCATAATCGATCATTAGTACGGACTAATTGATGCAATGATATTTGTGTAAAACTTCCGGACTCCATGATGTAAGCAAAAGGCAAACATTCTACGATGGCTCTCGACAACGAAACTGTGTCACGAGAAAAATACTAATTTCGGATAGATTAACTACAGGGATCTCTGCAATGTCGTAAGTGTTTGGTTTCGAGATTTGCGTACTTAGAAATATATGTTTTTTACGTTGTCATTCAAATCTGATTTGGTGTCTGAAACTGATATCCCGTGCAACTGTGCTTGTTGGCTGGTCATTTGGGAACGAAAATCGTAAGCGTGAATCTTGAAATGTTGGCTGTACTGTTCTTTCTCCATAGCCTAAACAGCTACAGTAAACTACGGTTATAACAACTCATAGGGACTACTAATTTTAGTTCGTTATAACCGTAGTTCGTTATAAGCATATATACAGAATAACTAAAGCAGATAGTCGGGACCAAATAAGTAAGTTCGTTATATCCGTCAGTTCGTTATAAGCGTAATTTTTCTCTCTAGAGTCTGGGGGACAGACTACCTGAGTTCCATAGCGTCGAATTACTAATAGGAGACATCATCCGTGGTCTAGTGGATAAAGCGTCTGGTCGGAGGGTCGTTGGTTCGATCCCCGTTCTCGTCGTACTAAAAGACGTTAAAAGACGGCACCCGCCTGGCGCTCGGCATTAAGGGGGTATAACAAGAATTGGTCATTTCGGAGTCAGTACACTGTGTTTGAGTGGCGTACTCGTGTTAAACTGCAGCGTTGTAGCTCTCAGTAGTTTGGTACTATAACACCAGTATTAGTACGGAGTAGTAAAAGGGCACACGCACGCACGCACACACACACACACACACACACACACACACACACACACACACACACACACACGTGCATGTAGGTCGCAATATAGGTGCAATAATAAATATCTTGAATGTGATGTACCTTTTAGGGGACCGGGGAATTGACATAGTTCACACGTGACACCGTGACAATCTCTGTCACCAGCACACCCATCAACAGCTGACAACAACATGTATGTCACCCAAACCGTTGTTGATATACCTCATACACACTCAATTGATAGATGTTTGTTTGGTGAAGAGATTTTACCGTTAAGATATTGACCTCGGTTCTGTAATACGAGTATAATGATGAGCATTAAAGTTCGATATCGGAATAACCTGTTTGGGCATGTGATGGATTTGAAAATATCATTTCTATAAACAAAATTACAAATTTTATGTTTCTTTGTGATAAAGAAAGAATGATATTGCCAAATTCCAATAAATATATTCGGTGAAATCAATAAAAGTCTTTGGTTTCTCACCAAAGCCTGAACATATTTTTGGTTACTGTTAAATATGCTGAAACGTTAGAATAGTTTGGTAAGGTGAAATAGCGTTTACCGTCGCGTTTAGATTATGGACACATGTTTGTAGTTTTGTGTGGCTGCTTTTACTACTCCGAACGTTGAAGTGCAAGCCCACTGAGATAACGTGGATACCCCACTCAGACACAGCGTAATGACACCGAGCCGACCTGTCCTTGTTTTAGCCCCTTAAGGTAACAACAAGAACCATCATTTAACGCATCTTGGTGTGACGCGACCAGGGGATAAGTCCAACGACCTTCCGATCTCCGGCCAGATTCCACTGGACCACGGAGGTGGTCTAAAAACGTTTCAACATTTAATGTTAACATATATCAATATTTTGAACTGGTAGTCGGCTTTTCATACCTTGTTCTAATCAAATTTGGATCAAGGTACCCGCAGATGTGTTCGTGTATATTTTATGTCCCAACGTAAATTGTTGGATCTGGAGCATGAAAAAGAGTTTTGGTCGTGCAACCGGAATCAGTAATATTTTAGACCCAAAAACAAAACAGGGAGTAGGTACCCAAATGGCGAATCACTTCTGCAACCAACCCCCACGAGTGAGCTGGTTGACCTAGTATGGCTTCCTACCCCGCGGCGCTGATGGAAACTGACGGTGTCAGGTACTGGGTTGCCTGCCTAAGGCTAGACATCTATTAACAGATCAATGCTAGATAGGTAGGAGTCATCTGAGCTTCTAAAACTAACTTTTTGTTACAATATATCATCGCTAAAACTTCTGACTGCTATAACGTATTAATA